CTTTTTCCCACCTGTGACATTGGTACATGTTTAATTCTTTCATCGTCACTATTGACTGTTGTCAGTAGTCACTCTTTTCGGACAATCTTCCTTGTTTTCTGTTTTCCTATTGGTCGACTGTAACCCGTCTTTGTCTTGGCGGCCGGCCACCTTTGTTCGCGCACTGTTTTGCTCTGATCACCACGCAACGGTGCTCTTTGTTGGACTGCTGGTCAAACTACTTCGAATGTACGTTTCTTTTCGATTTCAACCTTGTTGTTTACCATACCGTATGTTAACATATCGTTTATCATTACAGAACCACCAAAGACAAGAATCCGAGACGTTCTGACTATCTTCTGATATTGATATTGACCTCGGGGTGCGTAAATTCGACCAAAGGCTAGCAAAGTACCATACGTACGAATCGCGTAACAACACCACCCATTAACTGTCTCGGCAATCATGCAGACGAAAACCTACTAGGTAACAAGCATAACACATACCTCAGCCAACTCAATCTACGGAGGCTGAGCGCTGGATCCAGTAGGCTACTGTGATTATTTAGAATTCGGTGCTGTTCGAAAACGAATAGCCTCCTGGTCCCGAAACGACCAAGCCTCTGCACCAATCACGTTTTCTCTAGTAAAATCTGAATGCTATTGAATCACCAAATGAAATTCTTTTTTTATTTCCTTCATCCGGTCCGCCACTGTCATCATCAAAGATCATTAAAATATTTTGCTGAATCCATAAAGTACTTATCGGTGGAAACTTAATCGGGAGGATTCATGTTTCAAAGCAAAATGGAACGTCGTACAAATGCTCTATTCTAATCAAAATGTGATTACCATTATTTGAATATATTTGGTAGAAGTATCTTATGGGGCCATGAGCTATGCGACTCAACAATCCGTGGATCCAACCGGTGTTTGCTAAGCCAGAATGCCTGATTCGGTTTCCAAAAATTATATGGGCTTTCTTACAATAGATCGTGAAGATCGCACTCATAATATCCAGGTAAGCAATGATTCTTGGCCTGCAAATCACGAAAAACTCACCACAAGACGGTAGTGCGCTTGCCAATACAAGTTCTTGTGAACCAAGTCTAGTCGCGGGAATACCGCGAACACATCCGGGTGTAAATCTGTCATTCCTATCGGTTGATTCATATCAAGTGATCTTAATGTTTCGATCCAAGCCTTCCTGATATCCGTGCCCGAAGTACATGCAACACGGGGAGCCAACTGTCGCTTTTGGCACTGAGGTTCAAAGCCCTCTCCAAACTCATCCGGTATTTTTGGTGTATCTACAGGCTTGAAGGGTCTTGAACTCAAACACCGCGAAACCGGAGATAAATACGCGATAGTTCGCGAACCGCACAGCATTCCTGATGGAAAAATGTTAAAAACAGGTTATGAACATGCAACAAACAAAAAAGCTATCTTCTGATTTAGTTGGTTGAGTAATTCTTATGAATAAGAAGAAGAGGACCAAAAACAGATCTTTGAAGGACACTAGTTGCAACTGGACTGGGTTGAGATAATGTACCGCTAACCCGCAACTGAGAGGATGCATTAGCGTCACTGTTTATGACAAACATGTTACTCACTGCCTCGAACCATCGATTTGATAGATCCCGAAATCCCAAACCGCGAAATCCATAACGATCTAGATACCATTGCTCCCTGCTTGGTGCTTTCCTAAATTCGTGACAAGTTTTTATTTGATCACCTTACATCTTGAACCCCCGGCCCAACCCCACTACCTACCTCGGCAAGAGTCCCTCGCTGAGGGACCTCATCAGATAACGTGTGGCACATGTAATTAAGGATTCGGTGGAACACTGATTCACCATCAGCAACGCTGTCTTGATCGACGGGCAGAACATTTAGAGGCTCAGTTGAACAGGCTCCCATCGACATCTGACATACCACCCTGCATATGCGCTGGGTAAATACTCCCAGTTGATGCTATTCCTCCATCTGGAATGAAGGGAAATAAGTTATCTCAAAAGGCGTAATGCCTTCGGCCCAGAAGGGCTGTTCCCATCGGCGTTTAAGAATGGAGGGTCAGTCTTGGTTTTGGAGTTGACGATCACAGTTGGAGAGGGGAACAGGTTTCGACTGAATGGTTTGAATTAGTCATCATACCGATTCAACAGGACGGTGGCAAACCCTCTTTTGAAACCACAGAGGAATTAGTTTAATCAACAATGTCTCCAAGTTTCTCGCTGGCATTATACTCCGTCAATTGTCTACCGCACGTGAACGGTGCACGTGTGAGAACCAGGCTGGTTTTAGACCTGGTTGAGGTTGTATCGACCACATCTTCGTTCTTCGCCAAATTCTAGAGCACAGACACTCATTTTGTAGATATATATATATATACCACCGGCTTGAAAACAAGCATGGTGCCAACGCAACAACAACGACAGTGAA